ACTGAGACTTTTTAAAAAATCACATGCTCGTCATCTGATGGTCAACTATCGCTGTAGATAGTAGCCTGCTTTTCTCTATTTTATATGTTTGGTGATTGTTTGTACTGTGTTGACAGATGAGATGTCTGTCTGTTTTTATGTTCTGCAGAGCCGGAACCTGCTGAAAAATAGCATTCATGCTGAGTCAGGCCCGAATCTGATCATATTTTAATCTTTTCCTGTTTAAAAATTATAAATAAATAGATAAATGAATAAACGTCCCCTCTGCCCATCTTAGCACAATGGGAGAGAGGGGTCTGCAGACCAGGTGCAGTACAATCTGAGCTGCATCCAATGCTTTTAAATGCGCTCACCTAACCCCACCCCTAACCCTACCCCTCACCATGACATCACTCGCTCCATTTGAGTGCATTGTGTCTGACATTGCATCGCTGAGTGATGCAATCTCAGCTTGCATCATAAAGGCTGCGTCCAGCTACTATTGCAATGGGAAGCAAAGCTCTGCTCTGAAACTTTGGAATTCTCTTCCTCTTGACATGTGTGACATGTTCTCTTTCCCTCTGTGCAAATCCAGACTTAAAACTCAACTGTTCAAAATAACAAACTCCTTATAACTGCACTGCACCATTTTAGCATATATTAAAAATCTTTATATATATATATAAAATATAAACATAAAAAACTAATCTCTGTCTATTCATCTCATGAAGGACATGTTTTTGTTTTTGATTATTGAGAGTGGATATTTTGCTGTTGGCTCAAAACAGTTTTTTCTTATTGTCCTGTATCGTTTCCCTGATAGTAACAGTTTAAACAGATAATGTCCGGGGTGTGATGTGTTCTTGAGGATGCTTTGAGCTTTTTTAAAGGGTTACAAAAAAGGGTTTTTAGCTGTTGACAGTCATATGTGTGTGCCAAGCTGCTAAAAACACTATTAAGACACAAATATTTCACTAAAAAGTGAAAAAATGTTGTTTTTTGCGTTATTTCAAGCAAATTTGTTCTTCCAGTTTGAAACAAATTTTTGAAGCTGCGTCACACCGATTAGATACTTGTGTGTATTCCAGCATGTAGACTGGCTGTCTGTACCTGGGAGTACTTTGTGACGTCTCTGAGTACGCAGCATTAATTCATGAGAAAGACTTGGTTCAAACCAATCAGAAGACAGTGCTTACCTGTACAGTATCAGACGGCAGAGAGACGCCACGTTGTGTTGCCAAAGCAAGTGGGAGAAGAAGAGATGTTTGAAGATATGGGTCGTCAGTGTTGTTTTTATAATGTGCTGCAACAAAGGTTTTGTTTAAATTTTCCTGTAGATTACAGTGCACGCAACTCGCAACAAAAATACATGTCTAAGGCTCTCGTCTAAGGAACATTTTTTAACCGAGAGCTTTTCTCATCTGCAAATGGTAAAATCCGGAAAAAGTTCCTCTATGACCCAGTGCTCATCCTTTTACACTCCTTTTTTCACACACGCTTACTGCCACTACCTACTGAGTGCATCTAAGTTACAGAGAAAGGCAGAGAGTTTTTTTCTCTCGTTTCCCCTTGGGTATCAAACATTGCATTAAAAATAACGTTACACGCTTCCAGCAGTTCCTTGAATCAAATACCTCGTTTGTGTCAGGGGCATGAATGAAATGTTCCTGAATGAAAGAGAAAGAGCCAAACTGCAGTTAAAATCCACCATTTAATAATGTGGCGAATTTTTTGACTACTGATGTCCATGTAAACACAGTCTCTTTCTTTCTCCCCTGCATCTGTGTGTTTGTTTTGCCTCTGTGAAAATGTATAGAAATGTATAGATCTTCCAGTGTTAGAAGAGGGCAGTTGACGATCTTCTGTGCCATGTTTATGACCCTCTGGAGCGGTTTTCTCTAAGCCACTGGGCAGCTGTTGAACCATATGCCGATGCTTTACAGTGATTTTACAGTACATATTCACATTAAAGTACACATACAGTAATGGTGAGGAGGAGGTGTCTGTCAGGTTGTAATAACTCTTCTAAAACCCCGTTCCTGATTTTTCTGAATGACATGCCTACTACATCTATTCAGCCCGCAGTAGAAAAAACAAGCCACACCTACTGTTTTCTCATTTGAAAATCCATTTCTAAGGAACTGCATCCCAACTTCCGGTTCATGGGGACATTAAGCATTTAAATACAGATGTTAATATGACATGAGACATAATTGAGGAAACAGTCTATGTAAGGGGAAGTTTATTTCTTGCTCAAATCTTCTGATACGGTTAAAAACCTCCAGAGACAGATGCCAAGACAAGAAGATCATAAGCTATGAAGATCACAGATGAACTGAAAATGATGTATCTATTTGCGATTTTCATTCTGTTTCTGAAGACTTCATTTGTTTGTTCTTGGCTTGCTGGAAATTGTGTCTTCTAAAGTGATGCAGAAGGGCTTACTATTGCCCCATTCTATGCTGGGCAAACAAACATTGCTGAATGTGTGAGTGTTGTGGATATTAAAGAGGACCTTCATGGACTTCCTGCAAACATACTAAATCTCTACATCGAGATGGATTTGCATGGGGTTCTAGTTCCAAACTCTTTTAATAGATTAACGAATGTATCTTCACTAACAATAACATCATCCAATTCAAAAAAGTGCTGTGAGGTAGCTCTTGATTTCAGTCGACATCCCTCACTTACCAGTTTGTCTATTTTAGAATATAGTTTATCATCATTGGAAGCAAATGTTTTTGAAAAGATTGCTCACTTGCAAAACCTATTTTTATTTAATGTGTGTTTGAAAAACATGTCTGAGATTTTGTGCAGGCTGGTGAATATAAAATCTTTAAAGCATTTCTCTCTATCTGAAAATCTGTTAAATAGACTTCAGAACCCAAACTGCTCAGTTTTCAACATCTCTGACATATCGACTGAGTTTCAAGAGTTCACACTTAGCTGATGATTGATTATAAGCAAGTTTGGCATGCTGTCCCGGGAGAGAGCCCTGAGCTCGAAGGTTCTTGAGCCCTGGGCTCCCTCCCGTTTGGAGGAAGAGAGGGGAGCCTTGAGCTCAGGTAGATCTCGACAACTCCCCCTTGATAAGAGCTGATTACTAAAAATTTAATGCTATTACAAGATATGCTGCGTTATAAGATTACCTGAATTGCAAATTTAGATTTATCAATTTACTTGTTGTGCATGTTTTTGGAATGTGGGAGGAAACCGGAGGACCCGGGGAAAACCCACGCAAGCACGGGTAGAACATGCAAACTACACACAGAAACGACCACCGGCCTGTTGAAGGACTAGAACCGGTGACGTTCTTGCTGTGAGGCGACAGTGCTAGTCACTGGGCCACCGTGCTGCCCTATGGAGGAAAAGGTGAAAAGGTAGGGGTGGAAGGGGGGGATTCTTCAAATCGAAGATGACTGTAGTGAAAAAACCTTGGCTCTTTATAGTAGGTTAGGAATGGCCTGATTGGTGGATCATGCATGCTAATGCAGAACCAGCCGTGTTCAATCATAATCACGTGCTCCTCTCGAAATTAGTTTATGAATAAACTTCACTTAATATTAAAGAGGTGCATGTGCTTTTAGGGAAATTAGAACATGTTGATGAGGGAGCATTAAAGGTTTTTGGAAAGCTCGCTGGCTTTCAGTTTCTTTCAAACACAGATTTCCTCAGAGAGCTTTTTTTAATTGGAGTACATAAAATCAAAACTTTGGATTTCAATGTGGATGTAGTTAATGTTGCTGATTTATGTTTAGCAGCAAAGATATATTCATTTGAGACAATATATGTTTCTTATAAATTAATTAACTTATCACCGACTCCAAACATCTCAGATGAGTGTAAATATATTGAGGCATTGGTCTCAGTTTTGACATATGTGGAGAGATTGTCAACCTCTTAGATGTAAATTCTTTCTTTCAGATTTTCAGCAACCTCACCTTTGTTTCTATATTTAAGCATGTGCTCAGATCAAATGATTTACAATCTCTTTGTGCTTCATTTCCACAGACAGTCAAACAGCTTACTGTTATGATTCTTAAAAAATAAGATAGATAAGATAGTTTCTTACCAATTTATGTGTTTTCCAAATCTTGAAACTTTGAACTTTACCTCAAGCAGAATCTTAATCATAGAGGAGTTTGCTTTTATTGGATTGAACAAGCTGAAAGAGTTAAACCTCCATAGCAACAAAATATCTTCTATTCATCAACACACATTCAGGACTATGTTTGCGCGAGTGTTATTTGGGAGTTTAGGCATTAGCGCTATAAGTCAGTATAGTTTGCATGCAGTGAGTTTGTGTATGTGCGCGTGTTGTTATGGGTGCACACGCAGAGATCAAGTTTATATGTATGTGCGAGTGTGTATAGGTGTGTTTGCATGCTGTGAGTTTATATGCATGTGCGTGTAAATGTGAGTGTTTATGCGAGGATGGAGTGTGTATGTATATGTGAGTGTGTACAGGAATGTTTGCATGCAGCAAGTTTATATGTGCGTGTGTTAATGTGGGTATATGTGAGGATCGAGTTTATATGAATGTGCGTGTGTTGATGTGTTTATGCAAGAATCGAGATTATATGCGCGTGTGTTGATGTGTTTATGCGAGAATCGAGTTTATATGTATGTGCGTGTGTATGTGAGTGTATGCATGCTCCAAGTTTATATGTGTGCAAGTTTCATATATGTTGTTTTGAACATCTAATAGTATAGCTGTAAATGTGAGTAATTAGTAGGTGTATATGCACGTGTTGTATGAGTGTGTTGATTAGCGAAGTTTGATTTAAATCCTACACAGCGCCTCATATAAACACATAAACAAATGTGGTTATGTGTGGAAAGTATATAATCACAGTGCAAATGGTGGTGGAAATGTTGAGCATGCTATCCCTTTAAGAATTTAAATAAATGTTAATGTACATCTGAACTGAGGAAACTGTCTATGTGTCACACATTAATAGAAAGTGGTCACAAAAAGGGAAGTTTATTTCTTGTTTAAGTCTTCTGATATGTGAAAACACCTCTAGAGACAGATGCCAAGACAAGAACATTACAAGATATGAAGATCCCAGAGAAACTGAAGATGGTGCTTCTTTTTGCACTCTTCATCCTATGTCCGAAGACATGCTATGTTTGTTCTTGGCTTGCTGAAAAATGTCACTTCTTCAGTGATGTGGAAGGGCTTAACATTGCGTCATTTTATCATGGAAAAACAAGCATTGCTGAATGCCTGAGTGTCACGGACATTAAAGAAGACCTTCGAGGACTTCCAACAAACCTACTAAATCTCCTTGTTCAGATGGATCTACACTTTCATGGTGTCCTGGCTCCAAACTCATTCTCACGTTTTGGTTCTTTGGAAAATCTTAAAATTGCTGGATGTTTTTCAGAGATCCCTCCAGAAGCTTTTAATGGATTGACGAATGTAACTTCACTAACAATAACTGCCCTCGATTCAAAAAACTGCTGTGAGGTAGCTCTTGATTTCAGTCACCTTCCATCACTTACCAGTCTGTTTATTTCACACCATGATTTATCTTTATTGGCACTGAATGTTTTTGAAAAGATTCCTCACTTGCAATGGTTATATTTAGACAGTGTGTGCTTGAAGGATTTATCTGATGTTTTGTGTCGGTTAGCAAATGTTAAATTATTGAAGCTGTTTAGTCTAGATGACTGGAACATAAGGCTTCAGTACCAAAACTGCTCAGTTTTCAACACCACAGACATATCGACTGAGTTTAGTATTGAAACGGTGGATTTGCTTTTGGGAAAACTAGAGCATATAGATGAGGGAGCTTTTAAACCTTTTGGAAAGCTCTCTCTCTTACATTTTTCTGTTTCAAACACAGATTTTCTAGAAGATCTTTCTTTAATTGGAGTACATCAAATTAGTAAAATATCTGCCATAGTGGATGTACTTAATGTTGACGATTTGTGTGTAGCAGCAAAGTTATATTCAGTTAAGTCTGTAGATGTTTATTATAAGACAATTAACTTGTCACTGACCTCTAAAGGCTCAGTTGGCTGTAAAGAAATTGGTTACATTACACTAGAAAATGACATATCTAGAGAGATTGTCAACCTCTTAGATGTAAATTCTGTCTTTCAGATTTTCAGTAACCTCACTTCTGCTGCTATATATAGGCATGTGCTCAGATCAAATGATTTTCAATCTCTCTGTGCTTCATATCCACAGAACGTCAAACAGCTTATTAATATGGTGCTACAAACAATTAGGATAGATAAGATAGTTTCTCATCAATTTATGTGTTTTGTAAATCTTAAAACTTTGAAGTTAGTAATGAGTAAAATTTCTGTCTTCGAAGATTTTGCTTTCATTGGATTGAACAAGCTGAAAGAGTTAAACCTCCACAGAAACAAAATATCTTCTATTCATCGACACACATTCAGTGGCTTACATGAACTGAGGGTTCTGGATCTCCAAGAAAATCCAATAATTTACATTGAGCCAAAATCATTTGGACATTTTACTAACCTTAGCTCATTTCTGTTGGGAGATCTGAACTTCCCTCCTAACATGTCACTGATCAAGCTGCATTTATCTGATATATTTGGAGTAATCCCATATAATTTGAGTAATGTTTTCATTAGTTCAGGACTGAGACCAATGCATCTTGTGATTGGGAGTAATACTACACTGAATAATGGGCTAAACTTGCACATCAAAGGTCAATATGTGATTGTTGAGGACTGCAATAGTTTACTTTTAACATCTGTATTCACACTTCAGATACAAGCAGCATATATGATCTGTGAAAATGAATTCATTGGGAAATATGTGCCATCAGTCGTCAGTCTGGAATTTCAGTCAATGTTCTCTGACAACATTGGAGACTTGTCTGTAATCAATCAGCTTGTTCATTTAAAAACTCTAAAACTGGAAAAACTTGATTTAACAAATCTACCAAACATGGACATAATGTTTCACAATCTGACAAAACTGGAGACTCTGATTCTGGCAAACTGCAAATTATTCTTTCTGGATGGAAGTCTGACCAAAGACTTAAAGGCACTGACAAAACTAGGACTAATCCCAAAAGATACTGTTAACATTCTACAAACTTTTGTGGATCATCTCACTCAATTGAGGTTTGTTTATTTGGAAGACTTGGATCTGTACTGCAGTTGTGATAATGCATGGCTGGTCTCATGGATAAGGGACAACAGGAAGGTGGAGGTTGTCATGTCAAACCCCTCCATGCAAGATTTGAAGTGCTTGACTGACAATGAAGTTGACCACATTAGTTTTGTCAGCTATGTCACGGAGAACTGCTCATTTGACCTTGACTTTGTGTTCTTTGCCTGTTCTTCTGTGTTTTTGTGCATCTTTATTGTTGTGGTATTGATGTATAAGTTTGTTGGCCAGTACTTCAAGCCGTTCTATCACATCGCCAGTGGATGGTTTCGAGAGGCTTTCCGTATGAAGGAGAAACAGCAGTACCGCTATGATGCTTTTGTGTCTTACAGCAGCAAGGATGAGCACTGGGTCATAGAGGAACTTCTTCCAAACCTAGAACAGCGTGGACCTCCATTTCTGCGTCTCTGTCTGCACAGTCGAGACTTTCAGCTGGGACACGACATTGTGGAAAACATCACAGACAGCATCTACGCAAGTCGCCGAACTCTTTGTCTCGTCAGTCGCAACTACCTCAATAGCAACTGGTGCTCAGTGGAGATGCAGCTGGCCACCTACCGGCTCCAGGTAGAACACAGAGACATTCTTATCCTGGTCTTCCTAGAAACCATTCCATCTCGCTTGCTTTCCTCCCATCACAGACTGGCCCGGCTGGTAAAAACTAGGACCTATCTGGACTGGCCACAGGAGTCGAAGATGCATGAAGCATTCTGGGACAGGTTGTGGTGTAAACTGAGCTCTAATAAAGCCAACTAGACTTTCCTTCTGTTTATTGTAAAGTTGCTTAAGATAATTACAAACTTTCTTTTGCAAAGTGATCAATATTTCAGTAAACGTTTATTAGATTTGATGCTTAATAAAGAGAAAGTGAATATAATGATGGATGAAGAAAACAACTGTTTAATTTGCATTTAAAACATGTTTTCACAAACATTCATTATAATTGCATGTAAAGACATTTTATAATAATTTACTTTTATGTAACATGCTTAATAACCTGGTGTAATGTCAGAATAGGCTATGTTCCTATACATTTCAATAAGTTGACCATTCAATGAATTTAATTATTTTGCACACTTTACAATGATGATTAAAGCATCTATACTGAAACCTTTAATTCTCTTTATATAGTTTAATATTCTTAACCTTAGGTTATCTTTTAATGTGCAAATGATCTGCAGCAAACAGGATGTAAATTCGGATGTGTGTTTGTACAAACTAGTTTCAGTTCATTTATTCAGATGTTTACTGGAACACTTTCCTCATTTGGTCAGGTATAAAAAAGAACTTGCGCTGCAGCCTTGTATTTCTCAAGCCCTTGCCAGATCAATGTAAATTGACCATATTATGCCCACATTTCCACTTTTACATTTACATAACTTTTAATATTATTTGACAGACATGTGTTTACAATATTAGGAATAATGCAAGAAGTTTTAGGAGGAGTGGTTAATAATATAAGAAAACAGTTTATGTAAAACAAATGTCACTTTACATTAGAGTAATTTAACAAATGTTTTCATGTCATTTTTTATATTCTTATATTAAAAGTACTTTAATCTCAAGCAAGGTGTTTTTGCTTTTTTAATGTGTTTTCTACTGTGGAATACATTTATTTTGAAGAATGTTGGTAATTAAACCAATTGCCAACTGACATATTGTATGGAGAAGAAAATAAATAAATCTGCAATATGAAGCATTTGTATATCACATTTTCTTCAGTGTACACTCAAGTTGCATTACAAGATTTTCACTTTTGTTATGAATGTTAATACCATGTGAAATATGTGGTTTTCTGTAACTACATTTTGTTACACTCTTGTTTTACAATACTCCCCCTTCTACACTCTCATTAATAAAGGTACTGTCACTGGGGCCTCACCAAGAAGGTTGCTGGTTTGAGCCTCAGCTGGGTCAGTTGGCATTTTTGTGTGGGGTTTGCATGTTCTCCCTGTGTTCGCGTGGGTTTCCTCCGGTTGCTCTGGTTTACCCCACAAGTCCAAAGATATGTGGTATAGGTAAATTGGGTAAGCTTAAAAAAAATTGTTCGTAGTGTATGTGTGTTAATGAGTGTGTATGAATGTTTTCCAGTGATGGGTTGTAGCTGAAAGGGCATCCACTGTGTAAAAAAATATGCTGGATAAGTTAGCGGTTCATTCTGCTGTGGCGATGCCAGATTAATAAAGGGACTAAGCAAAAAAGAATGAATGAACGATAATAAGACAACAGTTTCATTAATCTGCGCACAAATAACACGACTTTACACTTTTACTTTGCATGCAATGCAAACGCCAAAATCCATTTTTGCTAATGTGCCAATGTTTCCCGTTCACATCTGTTGAGAACATACACATTCTTGTTTTCAACATGTATGTTTTTTATACATACAGAAAGTGTACTGCTATTACACTGTACTTATGCAAGTTGTAATCTAAAGTGTTGCCTTTTTTCCGTTTTAATTTCCTACCATAAAATAATATTTAACACAAATTGAAGTTGTAGGACTCATTTACAGTTCTAGAGTTATTTATGGTCTGATGAATTTTACTTAAAGCACCATATAGGGCATAAGGAAAAAAATAGATTTTTGTCACATTAAATGAATATGTAAGATATTCCCTTTCCACCCACAACAATTTAAATAAAGATGGTGTTCTTGTCTGTTATTATGAATTTTAAAACATGTTTACTTAACCCACCTGAAGTCCTATTCTGTATACACTGTTTATCATTGAAGTCAGAAAAGACAGAAGATGTTGTCCTATAACATAGATATACTGTAGTTCACACTGGTTTAAAGGTCACTGCTTAGATGTCCTGATTTTATTTTTATTTTTTTTATGGTGGTCACAGGCCAAAACTTTACTTTTTGGTTAGCTTTAGATAGTTAAAGGACAGAAACATTGTGCTAATCAGTGAGAAATGCTATCTTACATGTTACAGTAGGTCTTCTTCTTTACAAGATGTCCCACAGTTTGTCCTTGTGAGATTTGGGCCTTTGCTTTAGCCCTTCATATTTCAGTCAATTTGTATCAACTTCTCTCTCCATTTTTGATGTAAGTAGGGGTCCCACCATAATACTGACCCTCAGAATGTACCATTTAAATGTGCTAATGTCTAATCTGTTGATATTAGGATTGTGTGAAAATCAGATTACATAATTAAATATAATAAAATTCACTGTTTAAATTTCATAATAATGGAATGTTATTGTAACCTTTGCTGTTGCAGTGTTCATGTTAAAGAAACATAAAAAGTATCTTAATAACACATATACCAGATAAAGTTGAAAAGAGAAAGAAATTGGTGAACTAATCGATCTCATAGAGTTTACTTTAGATCACATCAATTCTCCCCTCTGTAGTAAATTATCTCAAAATTGAAGATTAATTTGAATGGGGCTTTAAAAGAATTAACTCTTTAAATCTGAACAAACGAATTGTCCAGTCCTGTCTTTCTGCGTAGGAGAGGTTGATGGTGTATGATTTGTTGAAGTAAGTGAAATAATTATGTGTCTGATCAGTCACATTCGCCATATCTCATCCATATATTGTATGTCCATGTTTTAGAACCATGGTACAGAACTGAAATGCGTATTTCCAGAGCTCTATCTGTCCAAACTGCTTCCTTTTTAGCACTCCTAATATGACATTTGTCATTACACTGCAGGAAAACACCGGCGATCAAATCTTGTAGCACTTAAAATAACAATTGTCTCTAAATTGTAATCCAAATTTCTCAGTGTGACCCTGGCTTAACAGACATACCACCATGAGTCTTCATTGAGACAAATGAATAGGTACAGGGCAATGTAGCGATAGTTTAAAACTAACTATTGGCAAATTATTGATTTATTATTAAAACTGCAGAAAGGCTGTGGGTGTATGAAATAATCAGAGGTGGAAAGAATAATAAAAAATCATACTCAAGTAAAAGTACCATAACTTGCCTAAAAATGTAGTGCAAGAAGACTAAAAGTAAAAAGTAGACTTTTCAAAAATATTCAAGAGTAGTGAGCAGTGAGTAAAAAGCTGATGCATTACATGTAATTTGTGGATGTGTGTAAACGTAACATTCTGTAGTGCATTTAGTTATTGTCCAGCAGGTACCTAACATCATAAGACATTAATATTAGGTTACATTTATTTTGTGATGTCAGGTGACCAAAGTTCAAAGTCTAGCCAGCATCTAAAGACTATGTTATTTTAATGACCAATAACAGCATCAGATGATGTTGATATTTGAATGATTTCAGGTTGTGTTAGAAAATGACCAAAATCTAACATCGAGCTAACATCTTAAACCAACGTCATATTGACGTCAAGCATTGACATTATCCATCAGGTATGGCAACAAAAACAAACATGTGATAGACATCATAGTAGTAACGTCCACACAACATCAAGATGTAACATTATTAGACGTTGATATTTGGTTGCTTTTATGCTGGACATTGATGTCGTCGGCCTGACGTTGGGTTCTGATGTCAACCCGATTTTCATTTCTAAACAAAATGCAACGTCCCCACAGTTACTAAATGAAAACAACAGTTCTGAACTCATCTCCTTTATTGCATGACTGCCATGGCCTTTCACCAACAACTCCCGCTTACACCGGAAATTACCTCTTAACATAATAACAAAAAGTTCTACTTCCTTTCAATGTGAAGCTTACACATTTATGACTGTCATCACCAAGAATTTAACTTAACACCCCAATGTCAATCTGTCATCATATTGACGTCTTGTGCCTGCTGGGTGTTAAGGCCATTTTGGTCATCAGACAGTAAACATCTGTCATTTTCTCATCATTGTCATGCATCTAAACAGTCTCTGGGTCATTGCGTGTGAAAATTTTGGATATCACCTTGGACACTTTTAATGCTTCCAAACAGTTTGCTGCAATTATAAATTGCCCATGGCTTGTGGTAGTTCATTATGATGTGATTTACCTTCTATGTGCAATTTGATTGGACAGGAAACACAAGACTAATTTTTCTGCAAGTTTATGCAAAGTAGAGGAGTAAACGTACCGATACTGCACTGAAAATGTACTCAAGAGACAGTAAAAGTACACATTTTCAAAACTACTTAGTAAATTACAATTTCTGAGAAAAACTACTAAACTACAGTAATTTAGGTATTTGTAATTTGCTACTTCACACCACTGGAAATAATGTAGGCATATAATTGTTATACTGTAAATAACACAAAAATATGTCTGTAAAATGTGCTATGTTGTTATTCTTATGTAATAAAATAGTGACTATACAAGCTGATTGAATTTCACTTTTTGGAACAAAAACTACCCCAAAATGTTTTATTTTCTTTTTTATTTTTAAAGTGTAGGGTTGAAACTACAGGATTTTGCTGTGAGGAAAAACAGTTCACAATGTCAATATCCATAATGATGTATGTCACATAAAAACAAAATCAAACATTTTTAAAACATTGGACATACAAACATAATCATACTTTTTTATTTAGCTTGCAGCATGCTCAACATGTAGCATATATATATATATATATATGTGTGTGTGTGTGTGTGTGTGTGTACGGAACACACAGAAATTACATCTTTGTTACCATTTTTTTCCAAATGTGTATTCTTCCATATTTTTGGGAGCAATTTTCACCTGTAGCTAGTTTTCCACTGAAGCTGAGCAAACTAAGCTGCTGCCAGAAGAGGTATAATTAGACCACTGCTAAATGACCCTAAGTATCATTATGTATATATATATTAGGCTGGTGAGAATGTATCGCACATTTGTAGAATTAGGCCACAAAAAGAGAAGTGAATATTTTATACAAATAAGTTGAATGCATCCTGTAAGCGAGACAGAATGAACTATAAGCTATGAAGATGGCGATGCTAAAGAGGGTGCTTCTGTTTGCATTGTTATTACTCTTTCTGAAGACTTATTTTGTTTGTTCGTGGCTTGCTGGTAAATGTTTTGTCTACGGTGATGTGAAAGAGTTTCCTCTTACCACATACTGTCCTGGAAATATTAACGGTGCTGATTGTAAACATGTCACTGATATTAAAGAAGATCTTCGTGGGCTTCCCTCAAGCTTACAGAGTGTCTGCATCCAGATGGATGGAGGCTCTGATGGTGTCTTGGCTCCGAACTCGTTCTCAAGTTTTGCATCTCTGAAACAACTTACAATTGCTGGATGTTTTTCACAGATCCCTCCGGAAGCTTTTAATGGATTAACGAATGTAACTTCACTATCAATATCTTCCTCCAATTCAGAAAAGTGCTGTGAGGTAGCTCTTGATTTCAGTCGACTTCCCTCACTTACAAGGCTGTTTATTTCATACTATGATTTATCTTTATTCAAACTGAATGTTTTTGACAAGATTCCTCATTTGGAAGAATTACACTTGGGCAATGTGTGTTTGAATAATATTTCTGAGGTTCTGTGTCGACTGGCAAATGTAAAATCACTGAAGCAGTTTAACCTTGACGGTGTGTTACATAAACTTCAGCATTCAAACTGTTCAGTTTTCAACACCTCTAACATATCAACTGAGTTTAACATTGAAAAGGTGAATTTGACATTGACCAAAGTAGAGCATGTGGATGAAGGAGCTTTGAAAACTTTTGGAAAACTGTTCTTCTTTCAGTTTTTTGTTTCACACACAGATTTTCTCAGAGATCTTTCTTTAATTGGAGTACATAAAATCAGAACTTTGGATTTCAAAGTGGATGTACTTAATGTTGATGATTTGTGTGTCGCAGCAAAGTTATATTCAGTTGAAAGAATGTTTGTTTCTTATGAGATGATTAATTTGTCAGTGACTCCTACTAACATGTCAGATGGCTGTGAATATATTATGAGCATTGCACTCAGTAATGACATATCTGTAAAGATTGTCGACCTCTTAGATGTTTATTCTCTATTCCAGATTTTCAGTAACCTCACCACTGTTACCATACAATATCACATACTCAGATCAAACGATTTTCTATCTCTTTGTGCTTCATTTCCACAGGCAGTCAAACAGCTTTCTGTTATGATTCTAAAAAATAATAGAATAGATAAGATAGTTTCTCATCAGTTTATGTGTTTTGTAAATCTTAAAACTTTGAAGTTAGTAATGAGTAAAATTTCTGTCTTTGAAGATTTTGCTTTCATTGGATTGAACAAACTGAAAGAGTTAAACCTCCACAGCAACAAAATATCTTCTATTCATCGACACACATTCAGTGGCTTACATGAACTGAGGGTTCTGGATCTCCAAGAAAATCCAATAATCTACATTGAGCCAAAATCATTTGGACATTTTACTAACCTTAGCTCACTTCTGTTGGGAGATCTGAACTTCCCTCCTAACATGTCACTGATCAAGCTGCATTTATCTGATATATTTGGAGGAATTCCATCTAATTTGAGTAATGTTTTCATTAGTTCAGGACTGAGACCAATGCATCTTGTGATTGGGAGTAATACCACACTGAATAATGGGCTAAACTTGCACATCAAAGGTCAATATGTGATTGTTGAGGACTGCAATAGTTTACTTTTAACATCTGTAGTCACACTTCAGATACAAGCAGCATATATGATCTGTGAAAATGAATTCATTGGGAAATATGTGCCATCAGTCGTCAGTCTGGAATTTCAGTCAATGTTCGCTGACAATATTGGAGACTTGTCTGTAATCAATCAGCTTGTTCATTTGAAAACCCTAAAACTGGAAAACATTGATTTAACAAATCAGCCGAACACGGGCATAATGTTTCACAATCTGACAAAATTAGAGAAAATGATTTTAATGAATTGCAAAATATTCTTTCTCGATAAAAGTGTGACCAAAGACCTAAAGGCACTGACAAGTCTAGTTTTAATACCAAAAGAAGCTGTCAACATCATTCAAAATTTTATGGAACAACCCACTCATTTAAAGTACCTCCATTTTCAATGCTTGGATCTGTACTGCAGTTGTGATAATACATGGCTGGTCTCGTGGATAAGGGACAACGGGAAGGTGGAGGTTGTCATGTCAAACCCCTCCATGGAAGATTTGCGGTGCTTGACTGACGATGAAGTTGACCACCTTAACTTTATCAGCTATGCCAAGGAGAACTGCTCAATTGACCTTGACTTTGTGTTCTTCTCCTGTTCTTCTGTGTTTTTGTGCATCTTTATTGTTGTAGTATTGATGTATAAGTTTGTTGGCCAGTACTTCAAGCCGTTCTATCACATCGCCAGTGGATGGTTTCGAGAGGCTTTGCGTATGAAGGAGAAACAGCAGTACCGCTATGATGCTTTCGTGTCTTACAGCGGTAAGGATGAGCACTGGGTCATAGAGGAACTTCTTCCAAACTTAGAGCAGCGCGGGCCTCCATTTTTGCGCCTCTGTCTGCACAGTCGGGACTTTCAGTTGGGACACGACATTGTGGAAAACATCACAGACAGCATCTACGCAAGTCGCCGGACTCTTTGTCTCGTCAGTCGCAACTACCTCAATAGCAACTGGTGCTCAGTGGAGATGCAGCTGGCCACCTACCGGCTCCAGGTAGAACACAGAGACATTCTTATCCTGGTCTTCCTAGAAACCATTCCATCTCGCTTGCTTTCCTCCCATCACAGACTGGCCCGGCTGGTAAAAACCAGGACCTATCTGGACTGGCCACAGGAGCCGGAGATGCATGAGGCATTCTGGGACAGGTTGTGGTGTAAACTGAGCTCTAATAAAGCCAAATAGATTTTCTGTTAGTATATTATATAAAAAAGTATATGAAAAACTTCAGTTCCTGTTTAATGTCTAATTGGATTATGAAACATTAATTGTAATTATATTTGCATGTAATGGCTGTTTTAAAATGCATTTAATTTAGTTTAACACAGTTAAACAGAGTTACGTTAGATAGTGTTTTTGGCGATCATTCACATTTGGCACACTTCAAATAAACTAAAATGTGATGCAACTGCTGAATTCTCTTTTTTGATGAAAATCTTAGATTGTTTCTAAACCGTTGATAAAGTTTTCACTTTTATTTTGTTTTAACTTGCTTATCAAATTCCCTGTGGAGAAAATCAAGTTTTAACATTGCTATAACGCATGAAGGCATAATGCAAAAACGCATAAAGACAAAATGTGCAAATTCATCAGTGAACTATCGCTGAGCTTTCTCATAAATATTTTTATTGTAAACACCCTCTGTTCCAATCCCCACAATAGTGATTTTGGCCATATAGGAGAACATGACAGGAAACTTTAAATGTGTTGATTTGTCATTCATAAGGGCTATTGAACAGAAATGTGCTCATTTTAAATTGCAAAGTATTTACATGTTCAAAATATGTAAATAAACCTGTATGTGTTAGCATGACATTACATCACAGATGACAAAAAAAGATTAGTATTGTCATACATTAAAATGCTGTAATTTTTTTTAAAAAGACCTTATTATATATATATACGCACGCACGCACGCACGCACGCACGCACGCACAAACACAAACACAAACACAAACACACACACACACACACACACACACACACACACACACACACACACACACACACACACACACACACACACAATAATTGAGTACATCCTATTTTAAAAATGATTATTCGTATCCATTTCTCAGTGAATGTAGACAGTGTATTTTGGTGGATTTAAATAAAACAGATTTATTAAACATATATATTTATTCAAAATATATTTTAGTCACCAAACATATTTAGAAATTGAAAAATAATACAATTAAATTCAAGCAAAATACTGCAATAATAAATTACAACATACAACATTTTTTGCTTCTCTTGATTTTTTTTCTTGTTTAAATTAGTCTTTTATATTTTTCTATAACATAAATTTGGGTGTACTAGTTTTTGGACCATTATTGCAAGTTATTTTGTTAGATAAGCTCTAGATTTGGCTTCAGTACTGACTAATCTAATGTATATTTACAAATATAATATTGTATAGCTTCCTATTAAAAATATGAACTTAAAAGATAAATTTGTAAGGGGTGTACTTATATATGCTAAGCACTATATTTATACATCTATTCAAATCATCTTGTGAATTATTTCTACAATCATATTGTAATATATATCGCAGCAAAACAAAATATTGCAATGTCAGATTTTTCCAATATTGTGCAGCCCTATATGACCCTATGTGCTTTGCTGTCAGCTGCACACAATTTCAAAGTCATTTGCTATTACTAAATGCCACATCTGGGAGGTGTACTGTACACACACCTTTTACCAAAATTATCCAACATTTCCTTACTGTATATAAAGATATGCGTTTTGGGTATGCCAGTTATACATGTGTTTATTTAATGTACTTCATGTATACATTATTACAGCATAACTATTGAATCACTTTACAGTTTGTTTCTTTGGATTGTCACAAATTGTGCAGCAAAATGTTTGAGAATCAAACCATGTCAATTGTTTCTGTAGAAATGCAAGCAGAAAAACTACAGTATGAAACACCACAATCAGATCACAGACAATGTTGAACGGAATTTTTATTTAATAGTATTTTTTGGCTGGAGGGTTTCTGAATGCGGCTACAAAAATTGTCCACATGATCACTGTGAAAAACTTAAAGTCCAAAGGATTCAAAAATATCATCAATATCATCTTTCGGAATATTAGGTTCCTGCAACGAAGTCTGCGAGTCCATTTTTTCTTTCTCAACTGAAACTGTCACATTTTGTCCTGACTCCACTTCATTTGAGGATTGTAGTAGTGGCCTGCATTTCCTCCTTTGATTTAATGATCCTTTTACGGTTCCAGAGGACTTCCTGGACACTGCTGACCTGCGCCTGAGAGTTCTGAAGTGTCTCATGAAGAATTTGTTCTGCCATCGAGTTCTCAAAAGCGCAGGCAAGGAACAGGAATGTTTCGGTGGAAAAGTTTGTTGAAGAGTCAATGCCTTTTGAACTTTTATATTAAACATCTTCAATCTTTTCTCCACCCTAAGTTAAAAAGCAAACAACATTTTTTAAATAACAGTAACTGCTGAAAAATGTATGCGTTTAAGAATTACAATTTGATATGATTCACGACACTAACCTCATAATTTAGTCATGATTTTTTAATAAAATTATTTGAAACAAATTTTCATTTTTTTTCTTAAATGCTACACATTTTTTTGCAAAATAATATATTTTCTGCCATCACTTGCTATTTTAAATCAAACAAACAAAAAAGGAATAATACAAACTAAAGAAGACTCATTAATATAAACAAACTAAAACTGTGACTGTGGAGGGATCTGACATTTAAAAAAAAAAATATCAGCATATCTATGTCTTCTGATATAATCTGAAATTTTTACACATTTACAATGTCCCCTGCTGACAAAAAACTCTTTCACTGGGGACTGAGATGGCTGGTGTGAAGAGGAAAGCCTTTCCTAAACCAGAGAGCAGAGTGTACAGGCTAATGGGTCCTCTGATGCAGGGGTCTGGCCACTGGCATAAAATACTGATTATAAAATGATTAATTATATAGTAGTATAGAAACAGAAGTTTAATATGATTATGAAGGTGAATAATTAACATTACTTGAATAATTAATTAGCAAAAGTATCAGTGTGATACACTTAAAAGTACACTAAAGAATATTAAATATTCCACAATAATGGGCAAACTATTAAAATATGCATAGACTAAATTGAAAAGGAGGGTAAAAATAATTTAATACCTGCTCCTTTTAAAGAACAACTTTCTCTTTCAGTCTGAAAAACGTCTTCACATCAGCATGAGTGTTTTCATTGCGAAAGTGTGATCTCTGTAGCACTCGTCATAACAGGCAGAGCTGCAAATCATCTGGGGCCTCAAGTATTAACGCTGCAAACGCACAAAAACTTTGCGTACGCCAGATTTCACGCTCACGTTTGGATTTACTTACGATGAAATGAACGTGGGAATGTGTGCAGATCCACGCCAACTTCATGCCTGCCGTTCGCACATTTCTTGTGTGTGTCTGTTTCATTTCCATTGGTGACTCCTAGAGGCAGTTGTGTTAAATTGCCCTCCACAAAGTGTCTTTGAACCGTGCAATGTCAGCTGTATGAGACGGGTTCATCCGCATGTCTAGCAGGTATAAAAGGTTTCCATACCATGCAGTTGATCAGCCAAACATTAAAGCACAATTTGCAGCCATTTTTCCCAATGTAATCAGAGCAATCTACTGCACACACGTTGCTATAAAGGCACCATCTGAGGATGAATTTGTATACGTGAATCAGAAGAATTTCCATTAAATAAATGTGCAAATAAAATAAGATGCACAGACTTATTAATGATTCATACTTGTCTTCCTCGTGATGAAAGTATAGGCAAAATCTAATGTAGTGAGGGGAAAAAAAAGAATGAGTTCACCAGACGCCGGATTCGAACCGTGTTTATGGTCAAAACATGTTGACATGCGTGTTACGAGCTACGCCACTCACGATGTTAAAGCGACTACAAAATTTTACACCTTTACATCGCACTATTTCTTTTTTAATCCATTTAGTGTGATGTTCAGACCCAACTGTGTTAACCGCATCAGCTAAACTCTCACACTTTATTTTTTCTTTTGTTACTAAATTCCGGAGAACAAACTTGCAAATAACACAGTTTCTCTCCGGTCTACCTCCGAAAGCAGCACCTCCAATTCACATTCTGTTCAAAATTTCTCTTTTTGCTTGCTTTTGACATTGCTTTTTCGTTGGGTTTTGCCAAAGTATAGTCATTAGCATATTCATATGGGGAGGAGGCAGGGAGGGGTTTTGCGCTCATGCATGTTGCGCTCAGTTTCACGTTCATTCGGATATATAAAGAGAATATTGCGTACGCACAAAGCTTTAAATGTGCAAACGCAATAAAAAATTCAGATGTATGAAACACTGCGTACGTACATTTACAGCTTTGTGCGTACGCAATGTTTTAGTACGACTTCAACGCAAGTCTTCGTACATGAGGCCCCAGGTCCACATGGTTTGGCTTATTAACAGTTTTTTGCATAATGACATCAGTGACCAGTTATTCACAGCGCTGATGGTTTATGTCCATATTATTCATTGTTCCGTTAGTGTAAGTAAACATCTTTTTGCAGAATTTGCACACATTTTGCCTGGCGCACTTCACCACTGTCATTTAACTCTTCTGCCCCACCTCATTCATGTGCAGGTAAAGCTAGTTCGCGCCTGTAAACAGAGCCCCCTCTGTTCAAAAAATTTATCATGATTCGTTTAACATTTCTACCTGTTTGAATCGTCACATATTTGTTTACCTGACACCTTCAGCTTCCAGACTTTCCATTCTCCCACACTTCAGGCTCAGGAAGGCCAGGCGTTTGTGCTCTTGATAAAACTTGCAGCTCCGGCACCAGTTCATCAGTTCCTTTAATAGGGCTGCCATGTTTCTAAAAGAAGACGTCTTCTTCAGTGACTTCAAAAACGTCCTCTTCTGACACAATGATGCTTTACTGGAGCTGTCCAATTTCATCTGTTGCTCCAAAGATTTCTTTGGAAAGACAATATGAAGATTATATATACAGTTGAAGACAATTATTAATTATGATGTTTTTTTATCATATTTTCATTATATATAAAAGTCATAAGTTATTAATAAGTTAATTTAGTTTTGTGAATTTTCTTTTCTTTTTCTAATATTTCCTGAGTGATATTTAACAGAAAAATGAAATATTTGACAGTACTACTCATAATATTTTTTTCTGAAAAAAAAAAAAAAAAAAAAAAAAAAAAAAAAAAAAAAATATATATATATATATATATATATATATTTTAGTTTAGTTTCGCTCCTAGTTTCGGTGCTAAAAACAGCTAAGTTTTAAATAATACAAGCCCTACAAAACAAGGCTACAAAACAAACTACTGTTATCCAATGACCTGCCTAGTTATTTTTGTTAAGCCTTTTTAGTCACACTAAGCTGAATACTAGTATCTTGCAAAATGACCTAATTATCAAATATATATATATATATATTAAAAAAATATTATATATATATATATATATATATATATATATATATATATATATAAATGTGCTTCAGTTTTTCTTTTTGCCAAATGCTAACATAAGACACCTGATCACTAACAACCTACAAATTCAAACTATTTACCTGTTTGGTGGTTTTGGAAGACTGCTGAAGCATAGCCTTTATGTCCAGTCCATAGGGTGACACATCTGGAGAATTACAGCAAACAGATATGTGGTTTAATATGATCTACTTTATGTATGCAACAGAATAGTGATATGAAATACAAAGATAAAAGTCTAGAAACCTGAGTAATCGGTCCGTCGTTGTGAAACTGCTGCTCCGAGGTCCAGGCTAGAAACTTCATAATGTCCAGCGCTTAATATTGGCATCAGATCTCTCTCCCCTTCTCCAATCTCTTCTTGTTGCTCGGTCTCCCCAAACAACTTGGAAAGGAGAGAAAATTTGGACTTTCTTTTTCCTCTTGTGCCCTTTAAGAGGTCTTTGGTAACTTCTTCAATCTTTAGATCAGGGTATGTGAGGCACAGGAAGTCTTTCAGGTCCTCAGGTAGAGTGAAGTCAGTCAGATAGGCCATGGGCTGAGACTGAGACACCTTCTGGAGCAGTTCACAGTTTCTTCTGTACATGGGGATGAGGGCTCGCAGAATACCTCTGAAAAAAACCCTATGGAAATATATACACATTCATCACATTTCAGATTTATATGTTACACAAATATTTTAATAGCTTAAATTTTTTTAATTCTCCTGGTTTTATATATAGTTTAGATCAGTGGTGCTCAACCCTGTACCTGGAGATTGACCTTCCTGCAAAGTTCAGCTCCAACCCTGATCAAACACACCTGAACTAATTAATTAGGACCTGAACAGCACTTGATAATTACAGGCAGTTGTGTTTGATATGGGTTGCAACTGAAATCTGCAGGAAGGTCGATCGCCAGGAACAGGGTTGGTCATGCCTGGTTTGGATGGACTGAAGCAAACTATTGAAAACAGGGGCACAACTATTCACAATCGCACGCTGACTGGTCTTCTGGACTATTGTTTATCATTCCCTAATTCCTCAAGCTCTTGATCCTTACACAAGCTGAAATTTATCTTTACCCACCTTCATGGGGCAGTCGTTTATTTTCTCATTCCACAAAGAGAAACCAGAACCTAGTGCTGCACACATACATTTTCTCAATACTTGTCACCAGAGTTGTTGTATTCTATTTTTTGTGGAATGTAGTAATGTAATGAATTACATTTTAAATGAGTGTAATTTGATTACATTACTAAATTCAATGTAATTGCATTACAAATATAGTTTTTAGAAGAAAAAATGCTTCTTTAAAATCATGTTTTCTGCTGCAAAATCAGTTAATAAGCATGCACTTTTAAATTGCTGCAAAACATAAGCTGAAATGCCTGCGTCTTTGTGGAAATACAGACATTACTTTGATTTAACTGAGCATAAAAACACTTTATTTTGATGGTCCCTTTAACACATTTTGTTGAATTTAAGTTACATTGCATCTACATGCCAACTAATTCTCATTAGATTATAAGTAGACTGTTAGGTTGGGGTTAGGGATAGTGTAAGTGTAATGTACTTGCAAAGGAGCAGTATCAGCAGATATTAAGCACACAGTCTACTAATACTAACAATCAAATTAGATGTAATTGGCATGCAGTTGCAAAATGTGCAATAGGGACCATCAAAACGAAGTGTTACTGAATATAGCTGTGAAATTTAGTCTCTAAATATCCTTTAACTGCTTTCAACTCAACTAGCAACTTGTTTAAGCGTTCTAAGACAATACTTGTCACCCAGGAGGACACCGGCACCTAAAAACACAATGATCTAACTCAGCCTAAACAGGCTAAATTGGCTTTCTGTGCAGAATTGGGAGTGAATGTATCTTCTGAATGTGAAGACAGGCGTAGCTGCTTATGGGGCCGTTCACATATTGCACCTTTTCTGTGCGCAAGTTCATTATTAACAATAGAGGTGCACAGCTTGCACGCACATATTGGGCGCGCTCGTATATTCCAGTTGCACTCAGTTGAAAACCATGAGTCATGTGACAAGAACTGACCAATCAGCTTCATGTTTTTGTATGGAATATACACAATTCGATAGACTAATTACCTCAGACAAACACAAAACACCCAAAAACTGCAGTACTTTTGCACACTATAGAAGTTAATGGTTACAGGTATCCAGTTTGGTTTTAAATGTCTTTTTTTGTGGTAAAAAAAAGGTAAACAGATTTGAAACAAGAGAATGATGAGAAAATTTTACATTTTGGGCAAACTATCTAAGTCTTTTGAATATGCCAAGCTGCTGTGATCAACCCCTTGTGATATTTTTCAGTGTCATTTCAGTGTTAAGCAATATTAAATTAATTTAAGAGCTGCAGTTTATTTTGTTTTTATAGGTATATTTTAGGTTTTAAGAGTACCTTCAAAGAAAAGTAATTAGTAGTCTGATTACTTATTACATTAAGTAATTAGTAATGTAATCAGATTACAAATTTCCAATAGTAATCAGTAATTTGTAATACATTACTTTTTTTAAAGTAACTTACCCAACCCTGCTTGTAACTCACCAGGGAGAGATTTGCTAATGCAAATATGTCTGATAATCTAATAATCCAAATTGTTTGCAAATATTTGAGAACTGCAATTAAACTACAGCAGACTTCTTTGTGCTCCCTCTTTGACATGAATTGTTGCTTAGATTTGACACTTCAGTTTTTGTTCTCATTATCGTTTTTATAGCAGAGCCACCAACAGATATCGTTTTTATAGCAGATTCTACATACTGAATTGGGCCAAATCATTCTGAAGTTAACCCAAAAAGAAGCAACGTGTGGAACCCAGCAAGCAAGCTAGCTTGACGGTAGACCATCCCAATGGTCAACCATCAGATTGGTGTGTCCCAGGGTTTAAGCTGATAAAACAAGTACAGGTAAACAAGTAAAAACATATGACTAGGCACCATTTTATAATGAAAAGGCACTAGTGTGAATGCAGCATTAAGCAGGTTTAACTTTCGCAAATGTGGGAATTCAGCAGTGAAGTGATGAATTATGAACTCACCAGAGACGACTGAGCATGCTGGTTATCACCACATTCAGCACAATGAACTCGCCCAGACGCAGATGCTGTCGTGTTAATCTAACTGAGGTGTAAAGGATCACAGTCATATACAGTTACTTCCTCTAACACAACACTTTTATTTTGCATGTGGACATTTAGGATACAAGAAAGCTTTGGTGCATCGTTCCAGCGTTCGGCCTAAAAGACTGGAGGCTCCAAGCAGCTTGAGGCCGAGCCACTCCAACATGGGCTGACTGGGAACATCACACTCCCCAGCCTCGGCTCCGGCTTCCCTATGTGTGAAAATATGCATGATCCCCATGTCATTTTCACAAGCAGGAACTGGAATTATAGCCGCATTTCCACTGTCGGGCCAGTGCGAACCAAGGCTTTTATCAGGCCGGCTGGGCCAATCGCCCAGGAGGTTGAGTAGTGAGGCCGAAATCATGTCACGTTTCCATCGTCGGGCTAGTAGCTTGTAGCGCATCACGCAAACCCCGCCCCAGAATGTCCCCCAAATCAAACGTCACACAACCCGCCCATTTCAGAGGGAATCAGGCAGATAAAGCACACCATCGCATCATCACGAAACCATTAAAATGAAAACAACCGAAACAAACAAATGACACATCACTGTACAGCATTACATTATACGCACAGGCCTGTGTATTTTTATTCATTAGCTGTATTTTTTTTTACTCGCCGACCGACTTGGCATCATGCATCGAGTGGTCTCGCCACTAACAAAGGGACCCAGCGCAGTGAGCGCACCCATCCATAATATAAAACCAAAGAAATTCCCCGGTAATAACTTGATATGAAATGTATTTTATAACATTCTTGTTTTGATAGACGTCATCAAACATTCAGCCCAAATGCTCCAGAGAGATGGAAAACATATAAATTATTCCCTAGGCTATGTGACACTTAATAGATGATTCCCCTTTATTTAAGGATGTTGCATATTATTCGCTTATATTAAGTAATAGAAAGTGTTAAGTGTTTCTGCACATAAGAGCAAGTAATAAAATATAGCCTATATTTCAATTTGCTCAACAGCTATTCATTAATAAAGCACTACATTAAAAATTTCATTATATGTTTTCTTTCCCTTATTTATTTATTTAATTTGTTTGCCGCATGTACTCGTGTTGAGTGCCATCGAAAATCTAGTGTAGTGACGGCATGCCATCTTTAACAGACTCGGGCTAAGTCTGCCCCAAAGCCCTAGCTGGTCCAATTTGGCCCAAGTTATTCGGCTGAAAAAGGCCAGATGCTGGCCCAGAGAAAGCCCCGCTTTGGCCTGATCAGGCTCCGGAAGTGACAGTGAAAACGTGACTGGCCTTGGCTCGCTTTAGGTGAGATAGTGGAAACACGGCTATTGTGTCATTACTTTGACCTTACCTCTGAAATTTGTTTGGACACACTTCCTTCAGATCTTCCACCGCTGCTTGTAACTTCATCTCTTTTAAACGGTTTACACATTGCTCAACCTGCAGATCATGTAAATCTGATAAGTATTTTATCATGAACAAGAAAAAATGATGCAGTATTATTTGTAACATCTGTAACTATGAGTAAAAAGGCAAGCAGGGTTGTAAGCATCACAATGTGGCTACATTTTTTTCATACATTAAACTGCGTCTGGGCAAAGCAGTGGCGCAGTAGGTAGTGCTGTCGCCTCACAGCAAGAAGGTCGCTGGTTCAAGCCTCGGCTCAGTTGGCGTTTCTGTGTGGAGTTTGCATGTTCTCCCTGCGTTCGCGTAGGTTTCCTCCGGGTGCTCCGGTTTCCGCCACAGTCCAAAGACATGCGGTACAGGTGAATTGGGTAGGCTAAATTGTCCGTAAAGTATGAGTGTGTGTGTGTGTGCGTGTGTGTGTGCGTGTGTGTGTGTGTGTGTGTGTGTGTGTGTGTGTGTGTGTGTGTGTGTGTGTTTGTGAATGTTTCCCAGAGATGGGTTGCGGCTGGAAGGGCATCCGCTGTGTAAAAACTTGCTGGATAAGTTGGCGGATCATTCCGCTGTGGCGACCCCGGATTAATAAAGGGACTAAGCCGACAAGAAAATGATTGAATGAATGAATTGCGTCTGTTCATCTGTGAAATATAAATAACTACACTATTATCATGATATGCAGAACAGATCACCTGAAATATTTAATGTAACAATAGTATAATTTACCAGAACATCTTGTCATTCATGACTAAAGCAATAATCATTGATATTAAAATTAAAATACTTTAAGGACAACAGTGCAGTCCCAAGATACAACCTTCAAACTTTTTACACATTTGTCAGCAAAATGTTTTTTTAATTAATTAAACATTTTTAAAGAGGTAGAGGTCAAAATAAGAATTGTTGAATGTTTGCACACAAACACAATGAAACATTATTTCACCCATATTTTAATATTTTAACAAGTTATTAAAATAGACACTACTTTTATTTTGAATTTATTTTTCTTTCTATATAAAATCCAATCTGCAAATGGTTAACTAGATTAGGATACCAAAAATGTGAAATTTAGTTTTTGACCTGTGTGTGTGTGTATTACAGGACTGGCTCTCACCTGCTTTAATGCACGGAATGGCTTGTGTTGTCTGAAGCCATTGTTCAAAATGTAAAGCAGTTCGTACAGCACACGGATTTCTGTCTGAAGAACTTCACTACATAACAGGGTCAACACTTTCTCACAGTCAGCCAGCAAGCAATCAATCAAGAGATCTAGACAGAAAAGAAAAGTGTCTGACTGCACATGTATTATACATGTAACACATATAATAAGGCACTTAAAATAAGTTAGAACGAGACACTTCAGGCAAAAACAAACACATATACACACAGCAACAGCATTTATTTCCTGCACCTGTAAATATTCTTTATTTTTGTCTAACGGAAGGAAAATATCAAAAACAGTTCAGATTACAGATTAATGCAAAATGTTTGAGTATTAAAATGCATAAATTTATTTTTTAAGTCAAACAGAAAGAAAATATCCAGAGCACATATTAATACATAACATATGTGTATTAAAATTGATACAATTATTTATTTTTAGTTTAATTACTAACCATTTTGTATAATTTACATGTTGGGTGTATTATATATTTTATTAAAATGCATTGGTAAGGACGAAATCTGGGCAACTTTAAAAGTCAATTTCTTAATATTTAGATTTTTTTTCATAGTTAAATGTCTGACAAATATTGTCCGATCCAAACAAAGCACTGGGAAACTTTTAGTTAATTTTTTTCAAATGATGAGCTTCATTAAAAATTGACCCATATTTTTCTGATCTTGTGGTTCAGGGTCACAGAAAATATTAGAAAACGTGTAATGACAAAAAATATTTGAAATGCTTAATGTAAATCAATCAACTGCTTGACCTTTTTTTAACCACATGATAAACATTATAAACTGGTGCAGATGCATTACAGAATGTAACATTGTTATCTATCGTACGAAGAAATTGTTTATATAAAACAAAACAACAGCCTGAACTAACAATAGTAAATATATATTTTGCTGATCGAAGCAACTATCTAAATGTCATGAGTTAAATGTTTTATTAAAAGTGTTTCACGTGAATCTTGCGGATCCACGTGTTCTCGTCAAGCGCTAAAACACTCTACTCTGTGAATTTATTTGAGCGATGTGTGTGTGGTTTCAATTTTATAAAAAATGTAGTAATACCGATATTTTAAAACATCGAAACATACCTATCGAATCCGTAAATGGGATTCGAGTCGAAGAGACAGCACTTGGAAACGGAATGTTTATTTTATTCCAGCACTCCTGCGCCATGTTTACAGCTGACTGCCGGGGAGAGAAAACCAGCCAATCATATGCTTGTGTGTGCGAATACGTCATAGTGCATAAAGGTACAAGCACACCATTCTTGTGCGCTTACCAAAACAAGTCGTTAGAAGCCACTGTGAACTTTCTTATTCTTGCTGGGAAATTTTACTTTCACAAACAGAGGTTCCTTAAAAAAATCCAATCTTTATAGACTTCCTGTGTGAAATAGAACATTTATTTAAATCTCTTAGATTAACTGAAAATAAGAAAAGTGCTTCTTACTTGAGCAAATATGATGTGATCATGCTACTTGAATATTTATCTCTTTTTTATTGCGCTGTCTTTTAACTTTTTACGTTTTTTATTATTATTTTTTATGTAATGTGTTTTGGTTTTGCTCTTTATCTTGTGTATGTAATGTGATTAATGTGTTAAAGAACTGTTATCTTTTACTGTATTCTAAATTGTATTATACAGTTTCTTTAAGTTTATAAAAAAAAAAAAAAACAACATTCTTTTGCGCTTTTGAAATAATAGATGGCGATATAGTTTGGAAACAGTTTTGGCTTCTTCGGGGGAAAAAAATATATCTAATAAAGCTGTCGAAGTCTCAATCCAAGTCATTCTTAATTGCTACCATATAAATACCAAACTAGCTAAATTCAATAAGAATATTTCCCCTAAATGCTCAATTTGTTCTCAATACGAGTAAACTTCAAATCACTAAATCATTTATTTTGAGAGTGTATATAAAGTGTTTTGAGTTGACTTTTCCAATTTCATTAAAAAATCTTGTTTCCAAACGTTTTTATTTCCCCAAAAAAATTATTCTTCGTTTACTCTCTGAACTTAGATCCTTCTTATAGCAAATTTAAAACTTTTTTATTTTCAGAAAGGACTTTTATATTTATATGTTAACTCCTTTAATTATTCTAGCAATTATATTGCTTGTAAAACTCTTTCTTGGTGTAAATCACTTAAACTTGTTAAGTTTAATTAACAATAATTTTTGTAAACGTTCTTTCTTGCATTGAACAAAAAAAAAAAAATCTTTTGCGCATTTTGCCCTGTCCATTTGCTTAAAAATGTTGAAGAAGACTTTTCCAAAGTGCATTATTGCAAGCTTATTATATGTTTTTTTGTTTAAGGTAATAAGTAAATGAACAACTGTTCTCTAAAACATGCATTTATGAAGAGTTATACATTCTTAAATCATCTAAATAAACAAATCCAACGACTTATTAGCTGAAGAACTCCATTCTCAAATCCTAAAATATGGAAATAAAATTTATATTCATTCTTAAATAGTTAAAAAGATGACTTTGAAAATAAAAGCTTTGTTCTTTATTTGTAATGTTCTCTTAACCAGTTCTTATACTTAAAGACACATTTATTTGAGAATAAATTGCATACAAGTCTTAAAGTTTCTGTATTATTATATTAAATTTACACTATAATATAATACAATACAAAACAGTATTATACTGTTTTGGCTTTTATATAATTTCCCAATGCAAATAAAATGTGTATAATGATTATAACCACAATTAACTATGTTAGAAAAATTAAATTAACAAACAAACAATATATTTGTTTAAAGCATTATAATCTTTATTATTATTTTAAAAATACATCCAGAAATGGATCATCTATTTATAAACACAATTCATGTGTGTTTTAATACCCATTCAATAATCAGTGGATTGACTTCCTCCAGCACAGATTCTTCTGTTCTGCCACGAACTGTAAGTCCATGGTTTGCATCCTTGATCCAGTGAACGGCGGAGGGGCTTTTCATGGTGTCCACAATATTTTGTAAGATTTTCTGTAAAGCAACATGGCTTTTATTATTACTACATTAATGCATTTATGACAACCCCTTTCATTAAACAAACAAAAAAAAAAATTAAAACCTGTAGAAAAACTGCAAAGTAATGTAGTTCACTATAGAACAGGGTTTCTACAGGTTTCATAAAGTCAAATTTAAAACTTTTTAAGACCATAATGAACGAAATTTCAGACATCGACAATGCTAAACACTAAAGATTTTTTTTACTAGTTAAGTTAAAACGTTAAAAAACATTAAAAACCAGTGTTATTGTAAAAAATATTATTAAACCATATTAATAAGTAAATAGAGTTAATAAATAAATGTTTCTTAAAACTTTTAAAAATATATTTATTGGATGGGTGTTGGATTGGGTTTAGCTTTACATGGACATAGGATAATTAAGACCCGTTTAAAAAAACACATTTAAAAGACCTACAACACAATGTTTGAGTAGATTTAATACTTTTTAATGCCTACCTTTTTAAGACTTTTTAAGACCCCACAGATACCCTGATAAAATTTGTCAAAAATATTTTGTTAAAAATGTAGGAAAAAGAAACAGTGCTGGTGACCACTGAGGAAAAAACACATGGATTGAGAACTGCTCATTTGTGTTCACCTGTTCACACATGTTATCTGCCGTGCCGGATATAAAAAGCACAGGAGTTCCAGACAGCTCAAGAAGGCCTTTACTTCGCTCAATGTAAGTTTGTGGTTTTCCTGGTAGATTGAGTGGGAATGATAAACACAGCACACCCTGGACTGCATCCTTCTGCACGGCACACATCTGATTACACACAGCCACTGCTGTACGAGCACCCATAGAGCGCCCTGCAAACAAACATGCAGACACATTTAACCCATTTTACACTTCAGTTGCTGTCAATTGTTTGTTAACAACTGTTAAAATTGCTGGTCAAAAACAAAATTCTACCTCTTGCATCTTTTGAATGTGCAGGAAGCAGGAAGTATGTAAACTAATGTGGTCATGTAAAATTGGAACAAAAGAATCTTTTTTTTTCACTTAAAATATTAATTTATTGCAAAAAATTAATAAAAAGGCAATCAGTAGTTAACTTCCAGAAATAATAAAGACAGTTACAAATGTTATCAGATTGAATGAGTTACAAAAATAAATGAGGTTTTAAAAGTGTTTAAAAAGGAGAATGTAATAATAATAATAATAATAATAATAATAATAATAATAATAATAATAATAATAATGTAAAAGAACAGAAAAATGAGAGAAAGATTTAACAATAAAATTTAATACTGTACACTATGAATATTATATGGGGGAGAACAAAGAACCTTTAGATGCACATAGATGCACTTTAGAGAACTGAGACTTCTATAAATTAAAAGCATCTGCAAATGTTTCAGATCCTCTTTTAAAAATAAAATGCTGCTTGTTATTCAAATAAACAAATGATGAAGCCTGATTCTACAAAAAAAAAAAAAGAAATTTAAATTGCACAGTTTTCTGGTGATTCTGAGTTATATTATTAGTGTACAGGTTTTATAAGTGAAAACAATCATGAGCCATATAAGCAGAAGTGGAGTTATCATCTTAAAGTTAGAAAATAGTCAAAATTGCAAGACATGCTAAATTTCTAAAAGTCATTATTTTGACAAAAACATCGCAATTGCAAGATGTAAACTTCCAATGTACAGAAAAAGTACAATCAGGGTTTATAATTCCAAATTTATATCTTGTACTTTTTTCCCCTCAGAATTGTACATTTATATCTTGTAATGACTTATGTTGCTTTTTATCTGAGAAATCCGATAGCCTATATAAACTTAGTTTTATGGGAAAATGTTGCCTATTTAGAAATATAAGTCAGAATGTTGAGTTTATAACTTCATAAATTTAAGTTCATATCTTGCAATTATGATTTTTAAAATTATTTGCATCTTACGATGCTACCCTTTTTATTAGAACTATGTCTTACAATTAAACAATATGTCTAGCAAATCTGACATTGTGCTCCTCATAATAGGCTACAAACTGGCAAATTTATCACACAAGATACAAACTTGTACTTTTGATTTAAAAAAGTCGGAGACTAACCTCCCAGGAAAACGCTGCTTGGTGCAAATCTCTCATGGGCCTTTAAATAATCCTGGATGTTACATATATAAAAAAACACACTAATAATGAAATGCAGTTACAACATAAACATTCGTTGTGCTTGCTTTATGATGCTTAGAATGAAGCTTACTACAACGGCGCTGTAAGCTCTGACTCTGTACACAAAGTTTATCGCCTTGCAGGTGAAGCGCAGGCACAGTACACCCGCGCAGGCGAGAGCGCGCGCGAGGCTCTCCAGCTGTTTAATGCGCATGTCTCCACCAGCGCCGTGCGTCAACACCACAGCTGGAATGCCCGCCGTGACGTCATCGGGTACCGAGAACAAGCCATCCAGCTCTTTCTGCTCGAACGGGATTCTCACCTTCTCCTGTCAAATTCAACATTATTGCTTTAATCGCGCCTCTTACAAATAGGAGAAATCTGACATTAAGGCACACGCAACATTATGCAGCAACCATTCCCGCTTTTTTTACGTTTAGAGAAAAAGTGCACAGTACTTTAAGTGTTGCATCGTGTTTTTGTTGAGAGAATACCTCTGAAAACTCCATTCAGGTGTAAATGCTTGGGTGGTTGACGCATGGAGATCTGAAACACCCGGGTGGAAGTTCCTCGCACATGGACACATTTTTAGACGTTCATATGAATAAGGTTAAGAGCGCCACCTCACGTAATGGAGTGAAAAAAAGACATTTGGAAACGGCTCTGAAAGTGTATGAACGCCACTGCATTAAGCAAAATATATGTATTATCGTCTGGTTGAAATTTTTTTAATAATCTTTCACTGATGTTATGTGCATGGGACACCCATCCTAAAATAATATACAGTGCTCAGCATAATTGAGAACACCCCATTTTGAAAATGAATATTTTTCTCCATTTCGAAGCGAATATAGGCAATGTATTTAGCAGCATTTAAACAAAACAGATTTATAAGACAGATACATTTATTCAAATAATATTTTAGTCACCTAACATATTTAGAAATTGAAAGATAAAACACTTCAATTCAAGCAAAATATTGCAAAAAAAAAAAAAAAAAATTCCAACATACAAAATTTCTACTAGTAATTTTCTTTCTTTTTTTATTTATTTATTTTGCTTCTCTTGATGTTTCCCTTTTTTTAGATGGTTATCGTAAGTTATTTTGTTAGATAAGCTCCAGATTTGGCTTCATACTGACTGATCTAATGTATATGCACAAATATAATATTGTATAGCTCGCTATTAAAAATACGAATTTAAAAGATAGATTTGAGAGGGGTGCACTTACATATGCTGAGCACTGAAATAGGAAAGTAATTTCTTGCAGAAATACCAAGTTTCTACTGTGTAAAACTAGTTTTATAAATGTGTCTAAATTATTTGGAAAATGGTAATTTTTTATTAAGTAATATGATTACATTTGTTTACTCATTATATTATGGAAGCCCATTTCCGGAACTGAATAAAAACTCAGAAATTTTACTCCTCAGAATTCAGAAGTTTATATTTCAGTTTTAATAAAGAAAAAAAAAGTAAAAATTGCAAGCTTCTCTCGCAAATTTAAAAAATTTGCAATTAGGTTTTTACATTTTTATTCGGTCAAATGGTGTATTAGTTAAATCTTATTAAAACCTCAAATTAAACCTTACAAGATTTAAATTTCAATTGCTTTATTATTTATACTTTTTAAATTACAATCTTATCTATTTTACTAAAAATAATAGTTTTTTCCCCCAAGCATTTCTACAGACCCTAGCACAATTTATATATAGTGGTCTCAGCACAAATAAGCCTAACCCTCACAGATCTCCCTTTTAAATTAATATTTTATACAGCAGTGTTTCTCAACCACGTTCCTGGAGGACCACAAATGCTGCATGCTTTGGATGTCTCTTTTGTCTTTCACATCCATTACAGGTCTTTCAGTGTCTGCTAATGAGCTGATGATCTGAATCAGCTGTGTTTGGTTATAGAGACATGGGAAATGTGCAGAGCTGGGGGTCCTCCAGAAACGCGGAAGAAACACTGCTCTATAGGATTCAATACAACAATATTTTTGTGTATATACATTAGATAAGTCTGGACCAAAGCCAATCCACAGCTAATTTAACAAAATAACTTACGATGATGATTCAAAAAACAATACTTCAAATTAATGTTAGGGAAAATATTAAATAAAATTATAATAAAGAGAAACAAATCAGAGAAACACGGAAAAAAATATAAAAATAAAATATAAATCTAAAATTATATATTTATTTTATTTTATTTTTTTGCAATACCTAATTTGAGTTTAGAAGTTTTATCTCTATATTCCTAATGATAATCTGTGACCAAACTCTTTTATATATATATATATATATATATATATAACTGTTTAATAAAATAACAAAAACATATTGGTGTTTAAATGCACCACACCTTGTCTAGATTTACTGAGAAACACAAATTTTCATTTTTAAAAGGGGTGTTCTTGTTTATGCTGTACGCTGTAAATATATAATCCTACAGCTTCTATAAATCAGACAAGCAAGAGTTTAAAAATGGAGAGATTTAATACACACACACACAAAAAGTATTCATTGCAGTCACAAAAACAAAACTTGTCTGAAGTCTTGGGAACCTGTTATGGTGGAAATCCATTGTCAATGAGATGGGCACTGTTGCAACAGAAATAGGTTAGTCTCTCACAGCTCATCTCGGACCTAAACAAAAACAAAATCTGTTAAAATTGCCTGATGGGATCCAGGGCTAATGTACCGAAGTACTTAGCCATTTACATGTATTCATTTAACAGATACTTTTATGCAAATGAGGAATAAAGAATTCATATAAACATTTTATCAGAGTTATCTGATAAATAATCTAAGTCAAAACTTTATTGCCCCCTTTATTGCTTTATGTGCTTTATGAAACCACAGTAAATCCATCAATTACTTAATTAACTGTACCAGTAAAAAAAAGTCAAACCAAAATGAATACCTGTCGCTATAATGATACACCGAGGAGAAATTAAGTAATGAAATGAAAACTTTCAGCAAGCATTCCTGTACACATTTACAGCATTGAGTCTGTTTTTCACAGCTGGATTTGATTACTGACGATTTGACACAAATTCAGAATATTTCCATTCTTCAAAACTCAACCAGCAGTTGTTGTCCAAGCAACAAGTCGTAGACTCGAACATGCTCGGGAGCAGCTTTTTCATACTAACAGGATTAGATTGTGTCATTTCAGCCAAAGGCGATACTTAAAGTTTGAACTGTTGATGTTTTGTGAGTCATGAGTAATGTATTGAATTTGGGAAAATATGAATTATTCATCAAATATTTAAAAATGTGTTATAAAGGTATAAATACTGTAACAGGGTGTAACCTTTTTAAGGGGTTCCAAGAGACCTTTTTAAACTATTTAGTGACTAATATGTACACTTTAGGTATAAATACATGTTGTAAATTATGTTTAGTTTTTTGCACAGACATTTAACTTCATACTAACAATCTAGCATCAGGGGAATTTTGGGGAACTATCCTTTTAAGAATAAACCTTTTATTTAATTCTGCTGAAAATGTGATGTTAAAAGGTAATCATTAACAACACAAATTGTTTAAAACATTGATAAATAGCAAACCCTGTCCAAAAAATACAAAAGGTCATTTGTAAAATACAATATATATAGCAGTGTCTCACTAAAGCGTATAATCTTTAATCAGATCAAATCCTAGAGATACACTTTTGCACAACGATGACAAATCATGGTCACTACCACCATTTCTAATGAATAAATTTAGATTAGTAGCCTAGTATAGCCAAGACCTTTTTTCTTGTGCAGTAACATGGGAAAAGATCATCCTTTGGCTGTTCTACTAGCTCCATACCATCTCGAACCTTGGGCTTGGTCACCTGCAGTTCAGCGTACTTCTAAAAAACAAAAACACACAGAAACATACTTTTTAGTTACATTTACTCAACCATATGCAAGTTCAGCGATATCATTTATGATCAGTCAACCTTTTTCCTCTGTCCTGATGAAGTCGTTTTATTAGATTATTTTTTTAATCAAGTGCAACATCATCAAGCCAAACAAGCGTCTTTATCTGCAGTACAAATCACATAAAATTCAAGTAGCCGCTGTGGTCTTGACCTCAACACTTCCACACCTCAAACACACACAGGTTTATTGCGGAGAAGTACTTTGAGGCCAGATTGTGTGTTGAAAGATTAATGTTTGCACCAATGGTTATAGAAAACCATAAAGTGCTGGGGTTCATGACCTGTGGGGTGTGTGAACTTAGTGTCTATGGTGAGCAGCACACAGGAGTACTGAGACCATCTAAACAAAATAATAATAAAGATAAATAATTATAGTGTACAATTGAGATTTTTACTATCTATCTATCTATCTATCTATCTATCTATCTATCTATCTATCTATCTATCTATCTATCTATCTATCTATCTATCTATCTATCTATCTATCTATCGATCCATCCATCCATCCATCCATCTATCCATCTATCCATCCATCCATCCATCCATCCATCCATCCATCCATATCTTTTAAGATTAATATGTGTAGCATAAAATGTTTTAAGCTGTTTTTCACAGCTGGATTCAATTACTGACTATTTGACACAATCCAGGATATTTTCATTCTTCAAAACTCATCCAGCTGTTGTTGTCCTAGCAGCAAGTCTGTAGACTCGAACATGCTCGGGAGCAGCTTATTTCATACTAACAGGATTAGATTGTGTAATTTCAGCCAAAGGCGATACTTAAAGTTTGAACTGCTGATGTTTTCTTTCAGGAGAACTGTATTAAATTAGGGAAAATATTAATTATTTATCAAATATTTAAAATGTGTAATAAAGGTACAGACACTGGAACAGTGTATAACCTTTTTATGTGTAGCAAAAAATGTTTCAGTTGTTTTTCCAAGATGTATAAGATGTATACTTTGCAACCCAAAAACATTTATTAAGATTTCATTTAAAACAATTATTTCTATTACTATTTCACAGCAATGTGTCTTATGTTTTGAGGATTTTTATTGCTTAAATTAAAGGAAACAAAAACAAAACTACTACATGGCATGTTGTAAAACTAACATGTTGTGGCTAATTCACAAAAAAAAATATATATAAATAAATAAAAAAAAAAATATATATATATATATATATATTTTATATATATATATATATATATATATATATATATATATATATATATATATATATATATATATATATATATATATTTATTTATTTATTTATTTATATATATATATATATATATATATATATATTTATTTATTTATTTATATATATATATATATATATATATAGCCAGATCCATTGTCAGATCTGTTTACAGTTTTCTAATGTTAAAAATACCTGTACTTTTCTGTATCATACATGTAAATACCCACAACAAGCCCTTCAGTCCTACAGAATCACATTCACGAGTCTTTATTATCTGATAACGAAGTGCTTCTAGTCATATTACCATCTTCTTATCGACACAGTAAAATGACCACTGTATGCATGTGCTGTGCAAATAGCTAGACGTGTGCTCTATGACCTTTGACTTTTGTCCTTGAGAATAACAATTAAAACTTGGATGAAGATGGAAGATCAAGATAGGATAAGATATACACACTGATAACTTCAAACAATCAAAGAATGCGATATGAGAAAATGAGAATGATGGGAAAAATGAACAGTATTACAGTGATCTGTTCACTCCTGTTGTATTCACGGTCACAACAAACAAACCTGAGCACTGAACTGAAGAAGTAAAAACAAAAATATTACCTGAAAAAGTTTGTGGTAGTAACAGAAAACACTGTCGCCCATCAGGTGAGTTCGTGCAAACTGCTGACCAG